CCGTCCGGCGAGGGGAGAGCATGCAAGAATACAAGGCCCATCTCCTCGACGTCATTCCGAGCAATGGCATCGCGAATCCGTGCAACGGAAACCACGTGACAAGCAATCGAAGTGTGAGGGGTCGCGACCGTACATGGGACTAACACTCCGTTCCGATCACGGATGTGAACGGTTCGGTCATGGAAGTTCACCGGATGATCGGCGCTACGCAACCAAGACATGCCTAGAATCATGTCGAACTTGGTGTCGAGGATGTCAAAAGACACCGGCTCGCACGCAAGTGGCGCAAAGTAGACCGGAACGCCATCAACGCATCGGTCAATTGACTTTTGCGTGCGGTCGTCCGCGAGTGTAACTTGCGTAGGTTGCGTCTTTCTTCGAACGCGCGGGCCAAGACCTGCGCGGGCCATAAAGGCTTGACTCATGAAGTTGCGAGACGCTCCGCAATCAATCAAGGCACTACAGGTTGCCTTTCCGATTTGAATGCGTGTATAGAGCAAAGGTGCGTCGGTTTCAGCGTACCTTTGGGTGGCGTGCTCGCGGTCGATCTTCGCAAGATAGGGGCGGAGATCAGCAACCGCTACCCCGTCGTCCGTCAACGGAGCTGGTACTGTAGTGTGCAAGTAGGAGCGTAGATTTGCCATCAAGGCGCTGCAATGCGGCCTTGGCAATGTTCCGGTTGAGGGTAGAAGTATCCAAGCGAAATCCTCTCTCGTGAGCGGGTCAAGCTCCTCAAGTCTTGACCACGCTGTCGAGTCCTCGGAAAGCAGTGGCGAACTGACCGGATCACTTGCCGACGGTGTACAGGCTGCGCATACGCAATCTACATGCACGTGGCTAGGCTGGTCTAATGGTGGTACCAGCTGGGCGGCATAATCCTCGTACGTAGCACGAGAACCAGCGACTAACGCATGCTCCCCGGTAGTGACATCGATTGCTACCAAGGCAACCGGGTCCGGCGGAGTGAGGAGAGACGTCGCCCCTCTCCTTGCGTAACTCAGTTTTCCGAGTTTGCTGGACGGGGTACGCGTGCCTTGCCCTTTTCGGGGTATTGTGCGGTCCCATGGGTGACTCCGTTGCACCAAAGGCAGTATTCGTACTTGTGGCGTAGGTCATAGACCTCCTTGGTGATCTTATATGTCGTCCATGGCTGCCCAACTCCCGTCGCTGCCGTCTCTTGTGTCGCCTTGTTCTTTCGAACTCTCTTGGGACGCTTCGGCGGGAGCGCTGCGACAATTCCTCCATCACTCGAGGATGCTGCTGCAGCGTGGTGGTCGTCGGTTTCCTCAGAAATCACGGCATTGTTATGTGTCGGACGTTGATAGGCCTGCTTAGCCACATAATGCGGCTGGGATTGTCTCTCGTTAGCGGCCTTGTCGTCCGTTTGGATGACCAAGTTCGCTCGATCCAAAATGGCCTGGAATATGGTATAGTCGTACTCATTACCGAGTGCCGACCGCAATCCCGCGCATGATCGCGAGAAGAACTCAGATCGTTGATTTGAGAAACTCAAATCGAATCCTGGCGTGGTCACTATCTTTTGCCACTTCGTTGTCCAGTCTCGAGTTGGCATGTTTCCCTGAGAGCATGTGTACACCTCATTCATGGCCGCCTTCACRACGTTGCRGACCATGAACCRGGTGARCCATAGCTGCTCGAACTCCTTCCAYGTGATGYGCGTGTGGAGTTCGGCGATGGTGCACTTGTGGGTGGCCGCCAGGTGGTTCATCCATGCCTGCGCTCCTCCAATCAGTTGCAAATAGAGTGCCTTCAACATGTCGTTTGTCGGGACAGTGCGGCATGACGCTTCCGTGAGGAAACGTTGCCACCATGTCAAAGCGTCCGACTTGTTGTAGTCGTCGAACTTGCAGATGTCGAAGTGTGGCATCTTGAATGTCTTTGTAGCGGCGTCCGGTCTCGTCTGTAGCTTGGTGATGTTCGTCTTGATGGCGGCCACCGTGCTGCTGATCGTGTCCGGTCCGTTGAAAACACCTATGTCGCCGATGATGGTGACGACGTGATCGATGCGCTCGTTGAGTTGCTTCGTCACGTCTGTCGTGCAGCCTGGCGCTGCTGAGGCGTTAGCCTCTATGCTGTTGACGCGTGTGATAGTGGAATTCAACAGATGATGTTGTTGCTGCTGCTGCGCTGCCTCTGTGCGGATAGCAGTTGTTAACGCAGTCATGTCGTTCTTGTATGTTTGTCGCTGCGTCGCGTCCGTGCGCAGATGTGAATGCAGCATTGTATTATTCCACATAATACCTCTCATCATGCCCAGCAGCAAGTTAGCCAGGTTACTTCTCTCTGCCTCCGCCGGTGTCGGGTCTGCCTRCGCTTCCGTAGGCACAAAGATCATGCCTTGGAGTATCGTCGTCCACTGATGCTCACAAGCAATCAAGGACTCCGTGCTGCTGGCATTCCGTCTGTCTCGTGTCTCTGCGTCAGTCTCAGTCGTTCGCTGAGCTTCGGCTGCCGCTTCATTGGCTAGCCGCTGACTTTCTGCCTCTGCTGTCTCCTTCCGGGCCTCGACGGCAGCTACGGCTTCCGTAAATGCCAGTAGCCGCCCACGATAATCAGCCGCTGGCTCATTGGCTCCTCGGACTGGGTATGCRGGATGATCTCCGGTGGCGTCTTGTACCGTCAATGCCGTACTTGATGCTGCTGGAGTCGTCCGCCTGCTGAGTTTCTTCGGTCTTGGAGGTACTGCAAGGCGGGCACGGACTGTGATTCTGGCACTGTGTCGTGGCAGTGCCCCGGTGTCCTGTTCCGTCGACATCAGTCTGAACCGATGTGGTACTTGAGAAGTCCCGGTAATCACAGAACACGGGGGGGGGGTAGGGAGAGTGGGAACAGGGGTAGAACAATCGAGCAATACACCTACAATCCCCTGTCCCACTTGTTGGACTATAGACCCCTAATCAAAACCCGAAAATAAATTCCCGGAACCAATTCAGAAAATTCGTAATAATTAACGATTTAATCAATAAATTTAATTAATGAAAAAATACGAGATAATTAATCAATGAAATCATAAAACGAATTTGAATGGTAATATGACTAGGTCTCTTTCGAGATTACTATGAGTCCGGGAGTTCACCGTTACTGAGTGAACTACCCGGAAGTTGCAGTTTGAGGGTCAGATACGGCTTAGTGTGCTAAAAAAAAATTCGGAAAATTTCAGAATTAAAAACGCTCGAATTTTCAAAAATGCGAATTTTCGGGAATTTCCACCGTCAAAATCCGATTTTTAAAAGCCTAAACCTATTTTCGGAATTTCTCAAACAAGGAGAACGRAAAAAAAATTCGCGAAAATTTCGGTCCCAACCCTAATTTCCGCGTTTCGGCGAAATTTCCGGATTTACGGTCCCAAAACGTTCG